AAAAAAAAAAAAAAAAAGTGCGTTTTACTCTTTCAGCTCCACAGTTATGAAAAAAAATCATCAATGGCGACTTCTAAGATTCCCTAATACTCCTTGTCTGGGTGGACATTAGAAGCTCTAACATGAGTTTGTTGATTTCTTGTCATCAGCCACTTAATGAAGTCAGGCTGGTCCAGTGTTCATGCTCTGATCATTTTCTTCTCCAGTCTACACTCATTCCCTTGACAGTCTCATCTAGTCATGACTTGAAATAACAGTGTAAACTAACAACCCTCAAATTTATATATCCAAGCTTGAACTCTCTCCTAATGTTCAGTCATAGGTTGAAATGATTAAGTGACACATACTTTGTAGTCTCATAAACATTTCAAATTGACCATGCTTAAAACTGGATTCTTGAGTTTCCCTCCAAGTCTCCTCCACATGTGGCTTCCCCATCCCAGGGGATGGAAAATCCATTCTTCAGGTGATCTAGGCCAACTACATATGAAGGAGGCTCTGGGCCAAAGAAGATTCAGGAGGGTGCAGTAGACAAATGTGCTGTGTATCAAGATGGGACTTCTGGTTTCCTCCTCAGGAGAATTTTTAAGCTACCTTTTTTTTTTTTAAAGACTTTTAAAAATATTTATTTATTTATTTAATTTTATTTTGGCTGCGCCAGGTCTTAGTTGCAGCATGTGGACTCTTAGTTGCGGCATGCATGTAAGATCTAGTTCCCTGACCAGGGACTGAACCCAGGCCCCCTGCATTGGGAGCATGGAGTCTTACCCACTGGGTAAGTGGGTCCAGTCTTACTCACTGGACCACCAGGGAAGCTACTTTTAAAAAAATCTGTTCCCCTAGAATGCTACCAAACCAAACTCAGGTTCCTTCACTCCATGCACAGCAAAGTCAATCTACTGACACTGGGTTGTGGTGAAGGAAAGTATAGCGTTTATTGCAGGGTGCCAAGCAAGCAGAACAGGCAGTTCATGCTCAAAAAGATCTGAACACCCTAATGGCTTCAGGAAAGGGTTTTTAAAGACTGTTAGGGGAGAGGGTCCTAGGATGCAAGATCAGCTCATGGACAATTTTCTGATCGGTTGGTGGTGAGGTAGCAGGGTGGTGTTTCAGGAATCTCACCATCAAGTCTTCTGATTCCAGCCAGCCTGGCTTCTGATGTGTTTAAGGTCAGCAGTTTCCACCTGGTGGGAGTCTGGGTTCTATAAAAACAACTTAAGAACATGCATCAGACATTGTTAACTGTTTTCCTTAAGGAGAACTATGGTCTTGTGACCCCATCCCAAAGGTTGACTTATTGCTTTAGTTATTATCCCCTTCCCTCCTTGAATGCCTCTTCTTTGTTCCCTTTGCTGCCCCTTAAATGATTAACTGTTTGAGCCCACTCTTTGGAACTGAGGGAGGCCTAGTCCGCTAAAGCTTTTTCCACAGACAAGAAGTGGGGACGCAGAGAGGCTTGTGGGGGAGGGGTGGGAGGAGGCTCCACAGGGCCCTGCTAGCTTTCAAGAAGAGGTTCTTGGGGATTCCCTGGCAGTCCAGTGGTTAGGACTCTGCTTTCACTTCTGTGGATCCCGGTTGGGTCCCTGTTTGGGGACCTAAAAAAAAGAAGAGGATCTGGGAAGGCGTAAGGGGGGTAAGGGGGGAAATCACTATGCGGGCTGCGAGCCTACGTCACAGCCCTACACCCTTTGCACCGCCCTGGGCGACTGCCCCAGCATTCCAAGCCTCAATTTCCCTGGGGCACAGCATGGACGCTCTCGCCCCCACTGCCTAGTCCTCTCCACTTGAGCCCACTGTTAAGAAACAGGTCTGGGCCGGCGCTCAGCTCCTCCTGTGGCTCTTAGGTAGAGGAAGACCCTCCCCTTACCCCTCCCTCCGCCCCACTCCCTCCCCCCCAGTTAAGGCGCTGCTCACGTCTGCGGATCTAGGGGAGACTACATTACCCAGAGGTATGCATTGTGCGTCTGAGGAGGTCGCTGGCCAATGACGGCCAGTCGTAGAGGCGTTTCCTGCGGCGCACGTACGTGGCCGGGACTTCCGGTTTCTCTCAGAGGACGCCATTTGCCTCAGCCTTTCGCTTCTGGCTGGCTTTTAGGTTCCGAGAGCTGGGCTGTGTGGCTACTGGGGCATTTCGTGGGGACTGAGCAGGAAAGGGGGATGGGACTTCCTTTCGTGCCGTGGAACGGGCCGTGACTCCCTAAACGGGCGTGTGCACTGGTCGCCCGCCAGGCCATGGCCTCTCCGGGACCTCAGCACCCGCCCTTCGTCCCCGCAGTTCCCGCGGGCGGCGCCAGGTCTGGTGCGCCTTTTTCTCGGAGAGCGGCTGCCAGCCGAGGTCGCCCGGCCAAGGCGGGGCGGGGGCGAGGAGCAGCAGGCCGCCTGGTGCTCGCCTCTCCCAGCGTGGCTGGAACGCAGGGCCCCATCATGGCGGCGGCGCCGACTCACCAGACACAGGTGAGTGGACGCTGGTTGCGGAGCTGCTTCTCTCCGAGGGCGGAGACGGTTCCGGAAGAGAGGCATCCCCTGGGTTTGTCTTCGCGGTCGTGTGCTCTGGCGTGTGGAGCTGCTCTTCTACTTAATTTATCCTTGGTCCTAAAAGCTGTTGGGTCTCTGACATATGCTCAGTAAGTTGTGGAAAAATGAGTGATGCATCCTTCAGGGGCTTCCATCATAGTAAATCCCGAACTCCGCCATGTGCTGCAGGGATGTACCCTGCCCCCCCCCCGCCCCCCCCAACCGGTGGCCTTGGGAAATGCAGGGAGAGATAAGCGCATGGACAAACCCAAGGTATATTGGTTGTTTCACAAGGCCCAGGAGGGCCTGTGAGGTTGCCATGGTGCCTCTTATATGCTAAGACGTGTCTTGGGAGGGCGAGGTCCTGTAGTCTGTTGCCGAATGTTCCACTCACCTTCAGCCAGGTCAAACGTTGTGGCCAGTCTCATGGCCAAAGCCAGTGTTATCCTTAGCCATTTGTGCTCTCTGGTCCTGAAGTATTCCTGGCATAGGGCTAAGTGCTGTCAGGGTTCAGGAAGGAAGCGGCTAATGGTTCATTGTGGAACCTCCCCGGAGTCTGGGAGACCCAGGAGGGTGTGGGAAGCTGGTTCAGGTCCTGCCATTACCCAGGTAGTTCCACCCTTTCAGGGGTCTCTCCAGGGAGGTCAATGATGAAGGCTCTGCTTCTCTGTGCATGTTCACAGGAATATTTTCAGGCGTGATGAAATGAACTTAATAGCAAAAATTGGTGTAAATGCTTCACAACTTCGTCATTAGGTATTCATTTTGATGATGGAAGCGTGTCGGGTTACTTTATTAGACCCTGTATCAGGGTTAACTGTTAACATCTTGCTGCTCGTTTGTAAGACACAAGACTCTTGGTGGATTTGGTGGAGCTCCCTTAGTCTCTGGTCATCGGCTGGCATGGAGATGTTTACCTCAGGGGCTGTGGGACAATTAATGAAAATCCCCAAGTACACCGAACATTGAATAATTTCTGTCTAAATCTCACAACTGATATTGGTGAAGTGGGAACTATTGTTGTATTGATCCAGAAACCAAGGCTCAGAGAGATGAAGTGATGTCTCCGAGGTAACACAGCTGGTAAGTGTCGGGTTTCAAGAGTTTGGATGTAAACAAGAGAGTGAAGAAAGAACTGGGGACTTTTAGTCACTTTAACCAGGAAGTGAAGCCCTCACCATGGGGCAGGCAGCTAGCAGGACCAGGGAGGCTCCAGTACTGTTGTTGTAACCATTATTGATACTCTCATTATCATTATTTATTCATTCCTCTGAGGTCCTACAGCCTCTCCTGTCTGCATCTGACAGCCCACACATCACTTCCATTGTCTTGTGTGACTTTCCAGTGGCTCCGGCATAGGAGACTTCTTTCTTACACTACTGTATTATGTCCAAAACATTGTCCACTTCCACTTCAGCCTAGCCTAGAGCTTGGCCCTCAGGAGGTGCTAAGTGGTTAGGGTCTTGATCTCTCTGCACCTTTAACAGCCTTCCAGAAACAAGCTCTGATCCCATCCAACAGCCCCAGGGTCAGCACTACTACCTCTATTTGACAGGTGTCTGTGACTTTCGATGATGTGGCCGTGACTTTTACCCAGGAGGAGTGGAGGCAGCTGGACCCGGCTCAGAGGACCCTGTACCAGGAGGTGATGCTGGAAAACTGCAGTCTCTTGGTGTCTCTGGGTAAGGCCTTGCCACTCTGCCATGCAGAGGACCTGCTATCTCCTTGTCAGACATGCTCTGACTCCATGCCCAGCTGATCGAGAAGCTTACCCTCTCTCTTCCCTACAGCTTCAATTACTTTTGAGATTCATCTTTTCCTGCCTGCTATCTCTGTGTTTCTTTGAGCAAGAAACAGTTCCCCTTTGGCTCCCAAAAGGTGGTGGAAGGAAATGGGGGTGTTCTGCAGAACCCAAAGGCAGAATTTCCAGTTGGGCCACATGGGACTGAAATAAGGACTGGGAACCACCAGGAATATGCCGGCTTCTGGATCTCTTGTCCTGACTTCTTCCTCTAGCTTTGCTCATGTCATGGCTTTTGTGTCTCAGCAAGTTTGTGGCAGGAGTGGCCACCCCAGTCCCTGCTCTCTGTGGCCCGCAGATGCCTTGTTTTTACTTCTTTGCATACTTAACATTGTTTCTTTTTCTTTTTCTACTGCTGGGCTCTAGGGGGTTGTCCCTGAGGCAGGAGTGGCCACCTGAGCCCATACTTCCCTGAGCCTCTACCCCAGTGCCCAGCACAGACTGGCCTCTGTCAGAGGTTCTTATTTCACAGTCCAGACAGGGAGCTGACTGGGGGGGACTGGTTGGCTCACGTGTCCCCTGCAACCCAGTCCACAGGGCTGTGAGTGATGGTATGGTCTCCAGGAAGAGGGTGAGGCAGGTGGGGCCTCGGGAGGTCTTTGCCTTCAGTGCCAACAGGTATTGTTGTAAACCACAGGATCTCGGTTATGGGGCTTTTCTGTTCTCCTATGCTTTCATGATTGTCTCTTGTTCCCTGAGTCCTGGCCAAGATCCTCTGCTAGTCCAAGAGAGAGAAGCTGAGAGAGTAATGCTTCTCAATACTTGGTGGTTTTGTCCCCAGGTGACATTTGGAAGTCTGCAGCCACATTTGACTGTCACACCTGGGGTGTGGGTGGTCCCGGCATCTAGCAGGTTAGAGTCCAGAGATGCTGCTTAGTACCTGAGGATGGACAAGACAGCCCCATTCAACAAAGGATGATCCAGCCTACAAGGGCAAGAGAGCCAAGGTGGAGAAACAGCAGCCTGAGGATAATCACTTTAGACCTCTCAGTTTGAGGGAAAGGAGAGCTGTAAATCCAGGGCTTAGGGTAAGACATGCCTGTTTTTAGAGAATTGGGATTGTATTCTGTGTTACACAAAATTAGGGAAAGTTTTACATATTTAGATGTTTTATAACAAAATTTAAAAAATGAAAAGGTCCATTATCTGACCCTGCTGACCCTTCACTCACCTCCCCACACTTTTCCCTGAGCTCAGTCTGCTCTGGTCATGCCAGCATCTTGCTGTTTCCTGTGCACATACTTAACATACTTGCCTTGGGCCTCTCCACTTGCTGTTCTCTGTGCCTGGTGGGTGTGCTTGGGCATTTTGGCTTTTCTTTTCTTTTTTTTTTGCAGTACGCAGGCCTCTCACTGTTGTGGTCTTTCCCGTTGCGGAGCACAGGCTCCCGACGCGCAGGCTCAGCGGCCATGGCTCACGGGCCCAGCTGCTCCACGGCACACGGGATCCTCCCGGACCGGGATACGAACCTGCATCCCCTGCATTGGCAGGTGGACTCCCAACCACTGTGCCACCAGGGAAGCCCCTTTTTTCTGAATTTTAAAATTTAATTCTATATATATTTTTTTATACAGCAGGTTCTTATTAGTTATCCATTTTATACATATTAACGTATATATGTCAATCTCAATCTCCCAATTCATCACACCACCACCAACGCTGCCCCCCCCCCCCCGCTTTCCCCCCTTGGTGTCCATACGTTTGTTCTCTACATCTGTGTCTCAGTTTCTGCCCTGCAAACCGGTTCATCTGTACCATTTTTCTAGGTTCCACATATATGCGTTAATATACGATATTTGTTTTTCTCTTTCTGACTTACTTCACTCAGTATGACAGTTTCTAGATCCATCCATGTCTCTGCAAATGACCCAATTTCGTTCCTTTTTATGGCTGAGTAGTATTCCATTGTATATATGTACCACATCTTCTTTATCCATTAGTCTGTCGATGGGCATTTAGGTTGCTTCCATGACTGGCTATCGTAAATAGTGCTGCAGTGAACATTGGGGTACATGTGTCTTTCTGAATTATGGTTTTCTCTGGGTATATGCCCAGTAGTGGGATTGCTGGGTCATATGGTAATTCTGTTTTTAGTGTTTTAAGGAACCTCCATACCGTTCTCCATAGTGGCTGTATCAATTTACATTCCCACCAACAGTGCAAGAGGGTTCCCTTTTCTCCACACCCTCTCCAGCACTTGTTTGTAGATTTTCTTATGATGAGCATTCTAACTGGTATGAGGTGATTCCTCCTTGTAGTTTTGACTTGCATTTCTCTAATAATTAGTGACGTTGAGTAGCTTTTCATGTGCTTCTTGGCCTTCTGTATGTCTTCTTTGGAGAAATGTCTGTTTAGGTCTTCTGCCCATTTTTTGATTGTGTTGTTTGTTTTTTTAATATTGAGCTGCATGAACTGTTTATATATTTTGGAGATTAATCCTTTGTCCATTGATTTGTTTGCAAGTATTTTCTCCCATTCTGAGGGTTGTCTTTTCGTCTGTTTGTAGTTGTCTTTGCTTTGCAAAACTTTTAAGTTTCATTAGGTCCCATTTGTTTATTTTGTTTTTATTTCCATTACTTTAGAAGGTGAATCAAAAAAAATCTTGCTGTGATTTATGTCAGAGTGTTAAGCCTATGTTTTCCTCTAAGAGTTTTATAGTGTCCAGTCTTACATTTAGGTCTCTAATCCATTTTGAGTTTATTTTTGTGTGTGGTGTTAGGGAGTGTTCTAGTTTCATTCTTCTACATGTAGCTGTCCAGTTTTCCCAGCACCACTTACTGAAGACACTGTCTTTTCTCCATTGTATATCCTTGCCTCCTTTGTCATAGATTAGTTGACCATAGGTGGGTTTATCTCTGGGCTTTCTATCCTGTTTCATTGATCTATTGTTCTGTTTTTGTACCAGTACCATATTGTCTTGATCACTGTAGCTTTGTAGTATAGGGTGAAGTCCAGTATAGTCTGGAGTCTGATTCCTCCAGCTCCGTTTTTTTTTCCTCAAGACTGCTTTGGCTATTCAGGGTCTTGTGTCTCCATACAAATTTTAAGATTTTTTTTGTTCTAGTTCTGTAAAAAATGCCATTGGTAATTTGATAGGGATTGCATTTAATCTGTGATTGCCTTGGGTAGTATAGTCATTTTCACAATATTGATTTCTCCAATCCAAGAACATGGTGTATCTCTCCATCTGTTTGTATAATCTTTAATTTCCTTCATCAGTGTCTTATAGTTTGCTGCATACAGGTCTTTTGTCTCCCTAGGTAGGTTTATTCCTAGGTATTTTATTCTTTTTGTTGCAGTGGTAAATGGGAGTGTTTCCTTAATTTCTCTTTCAGATTTTTCATTATTAATGTATAGGAATGCAAGAGATTTCTGTGCATTAATTTTGTATCTTACAGCTTTACCAAATTCATTGATTAGCTCTAGTAGTTTTCTGGTGGCATCTTTAGGATTCTCTATGTATAGTATCATGTCATCTGCAGACAGTGACAGTTTTACTTCTTTTTTTCCAATTTGTATTCCTTTTGTTTTTCTTCTCTGATTGCTGTGGCTAGGACTTCCAAAATTATATTGAATAGTAGTGGCGAGAGTGGACATCCTTGTCTTGTTCCTGATCTTAGAGGAAATGCTTTCAGTTTTTCACCGTTGAGAATGATGTTTGCTGTGGGTTTGTTGTATATGGATTTTATTGAGGTAGGTTCCCTCTATACCCACTTCTGGAGAGTTTTTATCATAAATGGATGTTGAATTTTGTCAGAAGCTTTTTCTGCATCTATTGAGATGATCATATGGTTTTTAATCTTCGACTTGTTAACATGGTGTATCACATTGATTGTTTTGCATATGTTGAAGAATCCTTGTATCCCTGGGATAAATCCCACTTGATCATGGTGTATGATCCTTTTAATGTATTGTTAGATTCTGTTTGCTAGTATTTTGTTGAGGATTTTTACATCTATATTCATCAGTGATATTGGTCTGTAATTTTCTTTTTTTGTGGTATCTTTGGTTTTGGTATCAGGGTGATGGTGGCCTCATAGAATGAATTTGGGAGTGTTCCTTCCTCTGCAATTTTTTGGAAGAGTTTGAGAAGGATGGGTGTTAGCTCTTCTCTAAATGTTTGATAGAATTCACCTGTGAAGCCATGTGGTCCTGGACTTTTGTTTGTTGGAAGATTTTTAATCACAGTTTCAATTTCATTACTGTAATTGGTCTGTTCATATTTTCTATTTCTTCCTGGTTCAGTCTTGGAAGGTTATACCTTTCTAAGAGTTTGTCCCTTTTTTCCAGGTTGTCCATTTTATTGGCATACAGTTGCTTGTAGGTAGTCTCTTAGGATGCTTTGTATTTCTGCGGTGTCTGTTGTAACTTCTTTTTCATTTCTAGTTTTATTGATTTGAGTACTCTCCCTCTTTTTCTTGATGAGTCTGGCTAATGGTTTATCAATTTTATTTATCTTCTCAAAGAACCAGCTTTTAGTTTTATTGATCTTTGCTATTGTTTTCTTTTTCAATTTTTTCTGCTCTGATCTTTATGATTTCTTTTCTTCTACTAACTTTGTGTTTTGCTCTTCATTCTCTAGTTCCTTTAGGTGAAGTTTAGATTGTTTATTTGAGATTTTTGTTGTTCCTGAGGTAGGTTTGTATTGCTATAAACTTCTCTCTTAGAACTGCTTTTGCTGCATCCCATAGGTTTTGGATCATCGTGTTTTTGTTGTAATTTGTCTCTAGGTATTTTTTGAGTTCTTCTTCAATTTCTTCAGTGATCTCTTGGTTATTTAGTAATGTGTTGTTTAGCCTCCATGTGTTTTTTTTTTTTTAACGTTTTTTCCCCTGTAATTGAAAATCTCATAGCGTTGTGGTGAGAAAAGATGCTTGATAT